TCAATAGAGATACCCTTTATATCATTCATCAGAAAAGACCAACACTACTATAATGGGGCAAAATCACAGAGCTATGTCAACTATATTTGCATACAAATACCTTTCTGTTGCATTATGTTAAGAATCAAGGTTTTCAGGATAAGAAGAAATATGCACAATTAAATTACATTTGGGTGAAATATTGCAATGTTAAAATCAAAGTGAAAATATCAATATGAACTTATGATTTTAAAATATGTATTGTATAGTTCTGTCCAGAAAAGGGGGACTAGACAAGGTATAATATACACCCCCAACTTCCAGATAAGGGTCTCTAATACCCGTTAGAGGCAAATAGGACTCCTTGAGGGAAATGGCTGATTCTAGGATGGAGGTAGGGAAGGTATAAGATGAGACCGAGATACCATCTTAGGCCAGAAAAAGCTTTCAAAGATCAGTGGGGTTTTAGCAAAGGAACGCCGAGGATCTGACTCGAAATAGTTACGGAGGAGCTGACTCGAAATAATTACCAATGGCCAAAGGTGTGCCAATTTAATCATCAAAAAGATAGCTGCTACATGCAATAACATAGATGAACCTCACAGAAATCTAGACACAAAAAGAGTACATACTACATGTTACTTTTAAGTTTAAGAAGTGATAGAGTCAGTTATAAGAATGGGTGACAGACTCAGAATAATGGCTACATGGTGGGGATGCTAAAGGGGGAAGAGTCTGATTAGAAAGGGGAGGCTTTCCAGGTGCTAGAAATATAGATGCAAAAATGTGTCAGGCTATAAACTTAAGACTTGTGCACTTTATATACATATGTGTGTGTGTGTGTGTTAAGTTCTAATTGAAACATACTGAAGGAAAGTCTACACTATCCATAATAATCCTCGAAAAAGAGAAAGCCAGAAACTCATTTGTTCCCGTTTAAGGGAGATTTTACCTCAACTTGTAACCCTGAAAATTGGTAATTAAAGGGAAAGATTTAAATTCTTATCCTGCCTTGTCAGGAGACACTGTACTTCAAAAGGTACCTAAATGGGGGTGCCTGGGTGGCTCAGTCGGGTAAGCATCCGACTCTTGATTTTGGCTCACGTGATGATCTCAGGGTCCTGGGGTTGAGCCCTATGTCGGGCTCCCCACTCAGCGCGGCGTCTGCTTGGGATTCTTTCTCTCCCTCTGCCCTTCCCCCACGCTCATGCGTGTGCACGCACGAGCTCTCTCTCTTTCTCAAAGAAGAAAAAATAATTGGAAACCGAAGATTGGACTGTTGCCCTTATTACCATAAAGTAGTGAAACCTGTTGTTCTGTGATTAGTTTTATTTTTTCTGTTTTCATTTATTTATTGTGGTAAACTATACATAACATTTGCTATCCGCTAAGATGGTAAGAAATGGCTGTTTTTAAGTGCACAATTCAGTGGCGTTAAGGACATTCACAGTGTTGTGCAACCATCACCACCATCCACCTCCAGAACTTTCCATCTTCCCAACGGAAAATCTATACCCATTAAACACTACCTCCTCATTCCCCGTGCCCTTGGCAACCATTCTACCTTCTGTCTCTATGAGTTTGACTTTGCTCGATACCTCACTTAAGTGGACTCAGAGAGTCCGTGTCCTTTTCCGTTGTATGGATAAACCACATCTTGTTTATCTTGACTGATAATTTTAACTTCTTTATTTTTTTCAGATTCAATCCATGCACAGACTTTCTCTAAACATTCTCCTGTCAATCTCTATAGGTGATGATAAATTGCAAGACTTACTTTTAAAATCAAATCTATGGCAGGATAAACCTTGCTCACTGTTGTTAATGCCTCCACAGTGTAAGGACCCCTAGAGCATCAGCACCTCTAGTGGAAGGGCTACTCTGGCTACCTGGTTCTTGCTGTCCTTCCTGTCCGGAGTGAAAAAGCTGCTCCAACCTTTCTTTAGAGATCACTTTGCTCTTCCAATGGGGGGAAAAAAAAAACCCACAAAGATTTGGCTAAAGGTATCATCTGGCTGGTACATTCTAGAGAAAAATCAGATACTTTATAATAGAAAGCAAAGTGGGAAATTACTGTTTCGCCTTGTATTTTGAGGCATCCCTAGGTTCTCTGCTGGGATTGCTCCAGTCATCAGCTTCGGGTGTGGTCTTGTAATGACGCCACGCAGACTTATTAAAAACCGGAAGTCTCTCAAATGATTCACTTGAAAGTGCCTAAGAGACAAACAAAAATATACACCAAAGAACCACAGTGTCATTTTTCTCACATGAAATACTAACCCAAATTTTACTATTTAAAACATTAGAAACCTTAATGCATATTTTTGGAATATTAAAATTAAATTTTCATAGTTAACTTAGACTGGCCAGGATGAAATTAAAGCTCTTTTAAAAGGAATAAAAACATTCACTCATTCAAAACCAGTACTAAAGTACATAAAGTAAGCAGAAGAAAAAGCATTTTAATTCAGTTAATACTGCTTTGAGATACTCAATCATCTTGACTATATGGTCTTAGGCCAAGCACTATCACTATCACTGGCCAACTGCTCTCCCAGAGGGCCCATACAGAAATAAAGTTTCGTATATACTAAGTTTATAAACATAAGCCCATAAGGTGATATTAAATATCACATCATTTGGATGCACTGGCATCTAAGATAAACACTCCAAGTAACTGGTTAAGTAATGGTATAACACATGACATACAACACATAACACACTACACAGCTGTTAAAAAGAATGACCAGCTCTGTAGGAATGGATATAGCGAGATCTCCAAGCTACACGGGAAAGCTAAAAAAAAAAAAAAAAAGAAAAGAAAAGAAAAGAAAAATGCTGAAATAATCATTGTGTGGGAAAAAATTATCTCCCCCCATATGCTTATCAATACAGAATCAACTCCAGGAGGCTCCATGAGAACCTGGTACCATGGTAACCTCTGGGAAAGAGAAGCGGGTGCCTTAGAGACAGTGGTGGGAAAGACTTAAGTTTTCCCTTTTGTAGCTTCTCAATTTTGTACTATGTGCCTGTATTACCTATTTAAGAAATCCTCCAAATATTCCAGACTTTAGAAATAAATAAAAGTCTGATGCCACCAATGCATGAGAAAACCTGTGTTACAGGAGCTTTGTTATTAAATCAGCCTATTTATATCACCGTACTATGATTACTGAATTCTTGGAACTCTGGGAAAGCCAGCGAGTTTTAAAGTAAAAGACTCAAACACTTCAGTTTATGAAAATCTGTCTCCTTTTAGATTAGTCCTGTCAATGCTTATGCAATTTAAAAGAAATCACAAGTAAGAATCACAGCTTTAAAAATCAGCATTTTAGTTTTTACATCTCCATGTTTCGTATTTTGCTATATCTGAGCATAAAATCAAGGGCAGGACATACCCTGGTTTTCCCATAAAACTGAAGTAAATCTGAAATGGCATCTAAGAGATGATGTAGGGCTATTCTCCATTAGTTATTAGAACTTAAAGCTTTCAAAAGTAAAGATGTCTTCATATGACTAATAAAGTACAGTACCTTTAAATAAATGACAGCATCAGTCCCGACTCCTTCCATGGAATAGAGTTTTAGATCTCCTTGGAAATATCTAGCATACAAACGAGAAATTGGCAAGCCATAACCAAATCCAGCCTATCGAGAAAAGAAAATTAATACAATGAGACATGCACAAATACTAACATACTTGGTATGAGGACTATTCAGGAAAAGTAAAATTCTCTTTTAAAAGTTTATTTATTTAGAGAGCGAGGGCAAGGGAGAGCACGAGCAGGAAAGGGAGAGAGAGAATCCTTCAGCGGACTCCCCTGAGTGGGGAGCCCGACGCAGGGCCGATCCCAGGACCCTGAGATCATGAGCCAAAATCAAGAGTTGGATGCCCAACTGCCAGAGCCACCCAGGCACCCCAATTAAAAGGAATTCTTCATTCAGGTTTAAAGCAAATAAATTATTGATCCACCCTTTACAATGATGTGTATACTCATTTAGGGCAAACAATCTATTTTCGCAAAAACACTTCTTTTATGTTTGGAAAATATTAGAAATACTCCAAATTTTGACTAATGCTTTTTTTTTTTTTTAGCATTTTAAAGTAAACTGTTGGCATTTTTAAAGCAAATTCCAAATCAAGTGGAATTTGAACTGGTAACAAAACTAAACCACATCATCCCAAAGTTCCATTATCAGATTTTCTTGCTCTCTGAAGTGAAAATTAAATTGAGTAGCACAAGAGTTCAAATCTACCAGTACCCAGGCTGCTACACTGAAAAGAACATTTCCTGAGAGTCTACTTCCTAAGGTTCTGGGAATGCTGAAATATTTTGATGTATGGTAGATCACATATGTTTAGAGACGAGAAAACAAGTCCAGTAACCCTCCTATATCTTCATGTCCTAGAACCCTGAATGTAACAGGTTGTTGAAAAAAAGAAAAGGTCTCAGATATTGACAAGAACAGTAAGAACTTACTGAGATAATCTCAGTAAGTCTGGAGTGGAGGGGCAGATTCAGTGCCTCAAGCTTTGGCCCCTCTGATGGAAATCCCTGACAAGGTTAATGAGGAGGCAGTGGGGTAATGCGCTCGTGGAGCAGAGGCTGCGTGGGCTTTAGGCTCACAGAGACCTGAGTAGAAATCCACTCTGAGCAGTTTACTCAACCTCTCTCAGACTGTTTTGTCATCTGAAGATTTAATAAAAAGCTTCCCTCAAAGCTGCTCTGAGGATTAAATAATATAACAAGTGTCAAGTCTTGACACAGTGCCTAAGACCTAGTAAAAGTAAATAAACGGAAGCTGCTATTATGGCTACTACAGGGCAACAATTTTTTTTTTTTTTTTACCAGGTTACATGGATTCCTGAGCCCAATACCATCGTGGGAGTGAGGAGCCAGGTAAGCTGTGAGATTCCTTTTCTACCATTTGCAAACAATCCAGGTTTTCCCAGGGTATCAAAGGATCTGACAGGAGTTGGGGATATAGACAGTTGATAACTGGGACAGGTGCTAGTGGAAGCCTTTCTTCAGAAGGAGAGGCCGTATGGGACGTGGGAAAGAACGCGGACACGACCAGTGCCGGCTGTGCCCTAGTGAGTGCAATGACCTTGGGCAAGGCGCTAACCTTATTTTCTCATCTATAAAATGGGAGGTTAGATACATAATATTTGAAGGTCTCTTACATCAATTGTTTCATTTTTTAAAAGAAGATGACAGAACAGCTGTCCGCAAATTGCTCTCTTGAGACCTGGAATAGAGGATCCACAGTCCTTCAAACAATTGGGGAAGGCTCCAGATTTGCTTGCAGGGTTTTTTTTTTTTTTTTTTTTTTCCTTTCTCTACATTTACTTAAGTAGGTACCAGAACCTGGTGAAGGCAATGCCTTTCAAAACTGATCTTTCTTTCAAGAATTTTCTTGACTCCTATAAAAATGACTTCTCCATTTTCAACATGTTAACAAACTCTGTCTCGAATAAATGATGCAAAGTGTTGGATTTTATTCATACAAATAAAATATAATCTCATGTGCTTATCAGTCAGGTAGGACTTGAAAATGAAACTTAATTTGCACCCTCAACCATTTTGCAGACTGATATGTTGCTGTGTTTAATGACAAAGGGTTCAATTGTTGTTTGTCAATTAGAAACACTCAGCAGGGGAACAAAGTGTGGCCCTAGCAGGATCTAAATGCTGCCATGGTAACCTGAGGCTTTTCTCACTGCCTAATAGAGCCCAGACAGAAAGGGCTCAGAAAACGCATACGCCACCTATATGTTCCCTCCTTATGCTGTTTACTATACAAAATTTAATGTGTTCATAATCTAACATTCTAATTACATAAACAGATGTGGTGGGGGAAGTTCAAAGGCCCCGGGGTGATATGGGTCTCCACAGTACGCAGTGCCCAAGCGCCCAGGACCACGCGGCAGCCGTAAGCGTTCTGCGGCAACTTTGCTCGCCGGCTATTAACCTTCTACCCCCTCCGAGGGTAGCACCAGGCGGGGAATGGTGCTCCCGCAGCAGTCGGAACCAAAGGGAAGTGCTTTTTCTCTACATTAGGAAGTGAGGTACTCAGCTCTGAGTGTTTCTTAGACAAAATTAGAAAATCTAAGTCCAAAGGATTCACAAAAAAAGTAGCAGTCCTCCAAATCATGCAGGAAACATTAGGGCAAGGAGCCAGGGAGAAAGGCCGCTCTGCTGGAGGCCCTTCTTGTGTTAATGGTCTTTCCTTAAGCAGCACTTTAAGATGCTTACCAGAGGGGCGGCTCTTGTAGGCTCCAGGCTAGGTCTAGGAGCAGTTGAATACATGTAGTTAAAAAGACGGTCTATTTTTCGAAGTGGGACACCACCACCTAGGTCACTTATCTGTAATGTACAAAATGGTTTTTTTAAAAAGTCAATGTATACTTAGTACGAAGCAGGAAGTTCATTAAAGTACATACCAGGTAACTCTAAAATGTACAAGGGCTTTGAACCCCCAGGGAAATATGGTTCCACTGTGAACAACCTAAAACAAAGGAGGCAGGGAAGGGCACTAGAATCCGACAGACTTGGGCCGAGGTCTTGTTCAACTCCCTGAAAAATGGGGCTCTGATAAGTTTAAATGAGGTAACAAGCTAAAGATCTAACGTGGTACATACAAATAAGACATTCAGGGTCCATTTTCTTCTCTTCCCTCAGATTCCTCAAGGTCTGGGCTACTATTAAATTAACTGATAAAGTATATGTGCAAATAAAGCCGTTACCTTAATGGACAAGTCTTCTTTACCCAGAGTAACAAGGGTTTTAACAGACGGGTAGGCTTCTTTTCTGTCTTCATATAGTTCAACTGTCGCTCTCATTGAGTTCTGAAATAATAAGACTTTTTTTGTAGCATACCATTGACTCACAAACCACAATTTAAAAAAAGAAACTAGCACAGGATTACTTATTACACAATAACGCTTTTGTGGAACAAATATTAGTTGGATTTATACACCATTTTTTTTCCTCTAAAGAACTTAGCTAAATGTGTGTTTGGATCACGGAAAAATTGCCCGATGCTTTATTTTGATTTCATCTAGTTTTATTTCCATCTATCACACTAAGTATTTTTTTTCTTTCTTTTCTCTTTTTGTTTTTGCCTTAGGGTATTTCAGTTATTCAACCCTTAACCAAGAGGAATGTTTTTATCACATGTAACGAGGCTGCAGAGGCTCACTGATGCACTTTAAATCCTTATCAGTCTGCATTTACAGAGCACCTTTCCTCTAAAGAAGGCGGAAAACCTGAGAGTATTCATGCTTCCCACAGAAATTAATCATTTGGCTGAAAAAAAAAAAAAAAACAAAAACGCAGAAGCAATGTCAGTTAAAAAGAAATTCTGAAAAAGCCACAGCTGTTGAAGAGAAAGTTCACAATTGAATGCCCATCTCAACCTTAAAGTGTTACATCAGTGACATTATAATTTTGGGAAGCAAATCAGCATAACTGATTTTTCAGGTGTTCAATTTAGGGTTTTACACATCGGAAGAAATGAAATTGTAGCTTAAACACCTTGTGCCTATAATACTGCTCTTAGAAATGCCATGAGCTACTGATTAACAAAAGCAACAGCTAAGCTATAGAGAGTCTAAAGAGGTTTTGTTCTTTTTTGGGGGGGGGTCCCTCTTTTTGGTCCAGCCCCTCACCATCTTTCCCCTCTGCTTCCATCAGAGCTTCTGAATGGACTCAAATACTTAAAGGGTTATGGGGTCTCTCGGTAGGAAAACAACTGTTGACGCACCAACGTGCTTAATGTTCGCAAACATAAATATGCAAACACACATATTTATTTTGATCTGGCTACCATCAATAAAGCCTTTGCCAGGTTTGGAAACTAAAAAGCATCTCTAATCTCACAACTGAAGAACAAACAGTATGGATTTTTACATAAAATCACCACAGTACAATTAAGCTTCAAAATCAATATGTACTAATATTCACGAAAACTATACCATACACAGCAATTTTTCATCTCATAGTGTACAAATTATAAAACCCACAGGGTATCAGAAATAGAAGTTTTAAAATGGTTATGCAAAACCTTTTTCTTATGCTAATCTAATGAATCCATTATGCCCTGAATCAAAGTAATTTAAAATGAAGACTTCTTTCCGTGTTTTTAAATTCCACTTACCTTGAACAACTCAAATAGCATGTGAAACAGGTGTGAGGGCACATAAACTACCTGAATAGGTTTGTCTGGAGCTTTGGCTGAAAACAGACACAAAGACCATCAATGAATAAGGACCAAAACTATCAGAAAGTCAAGAATGTGGCTGGCATTCTATTTTCCAAGTACATAAAAAAGAACTCTACACGAAAGGCTAATTTAGGTTTCCACCTCTAAAGGCAGGGCTGAGCAAAAGCAAATGCTTGGAAGTCCAACAAACCCAGGGAGAAATCTGGCTCCTTCACTTACCAGCCATGTGACCTTGGGCAGGTTACGCAATCTCTCTGAACCTTGGCTGAGCAAAATTGGAATATTATCACGTATGTCGTAATATTCTGAGCATTATAAAAGTCATCTAAATATCGCTCAGTGTTTTTCAAATTCAGGGACACCACCCCCAGTGGTGACCCCAGTGGTCATCATGGGGAATGTGAAGCCACAGAGGGAAAGGGGCGCATCTTTTTGGCAGACTAGACTAAGGAGCAATGTTAACTTCTGTCCAATTTCAACAAACAAGACATATTATAGAGTAGAATTTAAGGTTCACATAACTTTTCTACTAGTAGCTAGCAGACAACCCCCCCCCATCCCCACCCGCAACCATGCCCTCCAGAGACCCAAAGCCCTTTCTCCTTGCATCAGGGATCTCCGGAGGAAAATACGAGAAACACTGAATCCCATGTCAGGCACTAAGAACAGCGTGGGCTATAGAGTAGATGGTGGATAATTTGGTCCTTCCTCCTCATGACCCAAAATCACTTAAAAGACTGAAACTACATGAACATTCTCCAGTAGAACAGAGACATAGTCACCCATGTTATAATTTTCGACCTGACCTAACTACTTCCTCCAATAAAGTAAGTAACAGGGATATAAAGTAGAGTAAACATTTGTTAGGCTCTTAGCAGTTGATGAAAAGCTTACATATGCATTATCCAAGTGAATCCTCATGACACTACAGTGTGGCTCACAGGGAAGGTGGGTTATAGGCGAGGACACGGGCTGTGCAAAGGTTATGTGACTTGCCTGCTTAAACAGAAGGCCCTGAAATGGGACAACTGAAACAAGAGTTTCTGACTCTGAATCCTGAACTCCTTGATGATTACTTTTGAAATTATTCAGTAAAATAAATAAAGAAATGAAATTTCTAAAAAAGTAAAAGTCCTTCTACCATTTCCCATCTCATCCCCCAGTCTGCACTCGGAGGCAGCCACTTGCTACTATTTCTGCTTTAGTCTTTTAGTATTTAGTCTTTTGGTTGATAGTATTTCCATTCTGGTCTGCAAGCCTAATGAACTCTTCTGTACTCTGTCTATAGGTTTGTTTTTTTTTCAAAAGCTGAAAATTGAGGGGCGCCTGGATGGCTCAGTCGGTTAAGCATCTGCCTTCGGTTCAGGTCCTGGGATAGAGCCCCGCATCAGGCTCTGCACTCAGTGGGGAGTCTGCTTATCCCTCCGCCCCTCCCCGCCCCCACTCATGCTCTCTCCCGCTCAAATAAAATCTTTTTTTTAAAAAGGCTGAAAATTGACAGTGTTGGGAACATCATAACTAGGTAAATATGGATCACTGAAGAGCAGCCAGGACAGTGTAGTTGAACAATATTTCCTTCCCTGTGATTCCAATGACGTTTCATGGGTGACATGAAGAAGAATGTTCTCGGCCTTAAGGTGAAATGGATTCTCTTAATCCTCCACCCAAATCTCAAAATCATGCTACCCTTTTTTTAGGTTACTGAATATTTGGACTGTGTCCTTCTTACAGTTTTGTTTCCTGGATCTTCTAACTACCCTTCCTCTTGGGTAACTGGACAAGAAACATGCTCTCCGCACTGTATCACTAAGATCTTCCAGCTTCTATTCTAGTGCATGGTATCCATTTCATTCTTTAAGATTTTTCAAATTAGAATTGCCTTCCAAACATGCTGCATAGCCATCATTTTCAAACTGTTTTTGAATGAAGTTCTAGTATGTTCTTCACTATTTCTTATGTCCATATTATATACACCATCAAGTCAGTCAAGTAGCCTGCCTCAGAAAGGTGCCCTTGGGAAATACATTTCTCAATCCTTACACCTCTGACTCACTTGAAGGTTTGGCTTAGCACAAAATTCTGCATTCAAAATCATTTTCTCTCAGAATTTAGAAAGCGGGGGCGGGGGGTGGGGGAGAGATAGTCTCCTGGCCATTGCAGTGCAGCTGGTAAGTTTAACGCTAGTCAGGTTTTCCTCACGCTGCTGGGTGTTGCCCGAGGTCTGATAGACCTTGGTAGTAATATTCTTGTTGAAGAATGAGGAACTGGATGAATCATTTGAGGGAGCTGGTGTTCATTTCCTCCTGGGGCCCTCAACTAAAGGAGAAGGCTGACCTGGAGCCCTGCGTATCTGGTCAAGACTTCTCAAGTGACTTTAGGATGGGCAGACAGAAAGCTGGCTTCTGACCAGAGGGTGCCCCAAATTCTCAATGAAGAGGGCTTTACTTTGGGCTAACAATAGGTACGTGAACAGCCCCACTTTTTCCAAGGTTATTCTTGAAGAAAGTACTCTGATTTTAATTTCTGCCCCAGGAAAAATGCTTGTGACTGACTATAGGCAGAACACAGCCCAAGCCCACCGGTGCTCTGCCTTAGACCAGCTTTCAACTGACCCCTACCTTTTGGCTTCCCTTTCCAATGCTTTGCACCTACTGGCTCTTCTCCCAGGGTCCCCCCATCTTTGCTGCAGCCTCTCCTTTGTGGCTTCTTCTGCTCAGTCCATAATCAGCAGACTTCCATCGGTTTACCCTCTGGCAGGAGGTAGGATCAGTGGTCCACTGATGACTGCCCCTGGTTTCTTTGCTGTTTTTCTTTGTATTCCTTTATTGTCATTTTAATGGATCCCCAGGAACAAGTTGAACACTCAGGCTATCTTGTACCAAAAGGCATGATTAGTTATATAAACAGCCTTCTGAATTCAACCTTTCACTCCAAATCTTTTTCCAGATCTAATCTTTGATTTTTTCTTTTCACTTGAACCAACATTGTCTAGGAGTCATCTGTAGGCTTACTCAATTACTTGTACTTTTATTTTCTTTGGGAACATTACAGGTTAGATGTCTTTCCTTCCTTTTAAAACCAAGTCCAATGCTTTTGTCCATGACTCTTAACCTAATCCTGGGTCCAACGCCTTTTATGTAGTGGACCCTTAATAGATGTTTATTAACTTTCTAAAATAGAGCACAAATGCAATATGAATTTTCCATCTAAGGGTACATTTTTAAAAGTAAATGAAAAAAAATGGCCCAGGTTTTTCATGCTCAAGACTCAAGAAATAATCAAGTCTATTTTACAGTCATTGCTTCAAAAACCATTAGCTGAAACAACATTTAATAAATACCAACAAAACTCCACGTGGGATACAAAGAATTTTATTTGGAATCTTATAGGACAGTTCTCCTATAAGAATGAAAAAACTAGAGGCTAAGCAGAAAAGAAATGCATTTAAGAGAAAAGGTAGCTGGGCACTTCGAGATGATTAATCGAGTCCCAAAGTCAATGGATAAGGCTATTAGAAACAGTACACAATATGGTTCAAAGTTATACTGGGATTAATTCCTGATTCTGGCATTTAATAGACACACTAATAGGTATTTAAAACATCTGAGCCTCAGTGTTCCATATCTGAAATGGGCACAATACATATCCCATTGGGTTAATATAAGGATTAAATGGGATAATAGTGATAAACTAGTTTACAAAGAGCCCGTCACAACGTAAGTAGTCAATAAATGTTGGCAAGTATCATTACTAAAAGATTAACTTTATGGTGTTAACAGGACTACCAGCAATGGCTTTTCAACTGTTGTATAGAACCCCTTAACTGAAAATACCCACAAAAGTATCCAATATAGGGAAACTAGAAATCAAAGACCCCAGGATAGATACACACCTTTTCTGTGAACCCTCTTTCTTTTTTTAAAAAAACATTTTATTTATTTATTTGACAGAGAGAGATAAAGCGAGAGAGGGAACACAAGCAGGAGGAGTGGGAGAGGGAGAAGCAGGCTTCCCGTGGAGCAGGGAGCCCGATGCGGGGCTTAATCCCAGGACCCTGAGACCATGACCTGAGCTGAAGGCAGACGCTTAAATGACTGAGCCACCCAGGCGCTCCTGACTTGAAGTTTTCATGTTGCACACCAAACCCAGAGGTATGAATGAACCTCTTGACAGGAAAGACTAATCTAGAAATGGTGAAGAAATGCAAGTAGTAACCATAAGGCTTATCATTCCCAAGTCAACCCTGACTTCCAGTAGCCACCCTTTTAAAAATACCCAGTTTGTGTCTGGTGCGGTATTTAAGGCCCTAGAAACAGTATCCTTTTATCACCACACGAGGTGATCTTACAGACAAGGAAGTTGCTCGTCGCGTTCCCTCCCACTGCCTGGCTGGCTATAAAGCTCACACCATTCCTCTGAGCCATGCTGCATCACCTTCACCACAAGGATCCAAAACAGGTTAAAAAAAAAAAAAAGAGGTATCTTTGCTTAATGTTTTGGCAAGTGATTTCTCAGGAGAATCAGAAAGCTAAAATGAGAACAAGTGTGACAAAATGGATGCTTGTCTCTGGAGAAACCAACGTGGGTTGCCACCGGGGACGAGTCAGAAAAATCTGAAACCTGATAGAAGATAAACACCTGTTATTTCTAATGCTCCTGTTAAGTGCTATCAAATGGCTAATAAAGGAAGTTCATTTGAGCTGGCTCCCAATATCCAGAATTCTAGTGATGACTGGTAAATACTGACGGTGTTCATGTAGTATGCTCTCCATAGTCGTATTCCCTACTATCTCAGGGGTCTACAATGGCAAAGAAAAAAACTCCCAAAGATTCAGAACGCAAGATGATATGTCAAACTAATGGAACGATTCTCAGGAAGCACCAAAGGTTCTCTCGGGCTAGCGGCAGCCTCACTGCTCTCAAGTGCAGAGCAGAGGGCAGTGTTACTCACGCCTGTTCAAGGCGCCCGTTGGGTAATGGAAGCAACGTGAAAGCAGCAGCTCTGCTAGTT